GGGGAAAAAACTCAAATCTGGAACATTGTAAAGGAATTAAAATGAAGAGAAACAGGGGGAAGCCACAGATCCTGAGGCGAACCTCAGTAGGTTCCCAGTCTATCCTATGGTTAAGCTTCAGCTTTAAGAAGAAATTATTAAAGTGTTTCATCCTGCTAATTTTATTTAGTTACGACTTATATTCGCGTGACACAGTCACACAAGTTTCCTAGAAGATATGAGGGTTTATATCGTATCTGACGACAACCTCGGAACCTAGAACGAGTTTAGGGTTTAAATCGTATGGCAGAGCTATGCGAATGCCTAAAGAAAAGGTGGAGGATTTATGTTGCGTCAGGCAAACAACCTCGAAATCCTATGGATCGTTGTTTAATTTCTAGGAGAAGGGATGGTTTTGCTGGGGAAGACATGTTCTGCTGTTGAAGATGGTTGTGCTGCCCACCGCGCTAGCTCCAAGCTCCCCGACATGACGAGTTTAAGTTTTTTAGGGTGTCCAGTTATAATGTTAAATCAAACGGCCCTATGGTTGTAGTCCTCTAAACATCATATGCAAAAAGGAAACATGCTTGAAGTTATATAATGTAAAGTGTGCGATGCAGGACAAACAATAGAATACACGTGGAACAGTAGTAGGCAAAACAGGAGCAGTATAACATGCTATACGAGAAGAACAGTAGCAAGTGGAAACATGAATAATATAACATGCTGTATAAGAAGAGCAGTAGCAGGTAGAAACAGGCAAAATTAATTGCTGTAAAATGTAAAGCAAACCTGTACGCCCGTGAGATTCGCTGTTCCTTAAGTATAACAAACCTAAACGCATCTCAAAAAGCAACTTCCGAAAGAAACATCGTCCAGGAAACCCGAGGAAAAGCGGAGAAACTCGAGAAAATCAACGAAAAAGACTCAAGTAAAAGAAAACTCTCAAAACTCCCGGGGAAATTCCAAAAGAAAGGAAAAGTAACACGAGTGCCCTGTCCCAAAACTTCGATAAAACAAAAAAAGATTCAGATGAGGGGGACTGCAAGCACTCGTATAGGACTAGACTCAGATATATTTATTCTCGAGGGTCCACGAAGGCTACTCGGTCACCCGAATATATAGAACCCGCCACTCGTCTAGACGTGTGTCTTGAACCTCACTTAGAGGGCTATTTCTCAGCCTAAACAGGTATTTGTCAGGTGGACAACCAACTTTAAAACGTATTTTAAAATTTATGTTTTTGATATACACACAAATTTTAAACATGCAAAGAAGAGTTATCAATTTTATTTCGTAGAAAAGTATGTTTTCGTTTGAAAATGGTTTATCAAAACTTATCCTCTTTTTTTTTTAAGAAATTTTTATTGTCCACGAGTCGATTACGCTACCAGGCATAGGACTGCCAACATCCTGAGGAGGTTCGAGCCGACTACCGCTAGACTTGTGTCGGTGAAGGATACCATATCCTATTGTTCATCAAATGTCTGGATCTTGATGTTATAGGATAGGGCATCTTTCTGCTCTATCTTTGGTGTGCCTTTATCATCACCACCGTACGCCCCAAAACGACTACTTGCGACCTTGCTTGATGGTTTCACGTATAGCAAAAGGCTATACGTGGACACTTAAACTTATGCATCAGACATAAGCATCGAAAACCGAACCAAGAAGCAAGGAAATAAAAGAACAAAAAAGGGGTGAGAGAGAGGAGACACTGATCTATCTAAAACAACGAAAATGAGACTAGATCAGTTCTCAAAATACTCCTATCGAAAAGACCTGAAAAAGTAGGGCCCGAGGTCTTTCCTAACAAACATAAAATATTCATTCGCGCTGATTCTACAAACCCCAAGGACGCAGGATTAATCGAATCCACCAAATACCTTCCCAAATAAAGCTTGCAAATCCTCCCCAGATCCCAAAGTTGATATCAAAATCTTCTGACTTCCAACTTAATCCATAACTTTACATATCGAACAAGCATAACAATCTTCCCATAAAATCAAACGGATGCTTGCAATCGGGATCACTACAAAGAGCTGAACAGCAGGTAGGACTCACGGCCAGGGTCAGCAGAGAAGAGGAAACAACCAACAAGGCTCTCGACCCAAAGCTAGGAACGGGGACAAAAGGGCTCACGGCCAGGGTCAGCAAAGAAGAGGAAACAGCCAACAAGGCCCATAACCAAAGGCAGCCTAAAGACAATTGGTAAGGCTTTCAGTTAAGGCAACAAAGGGGCCCAAAAAGAACTAGCTACCGTACGCCCCAAAACGACTACTTACGACCTTGCTTGATGGTTTCACGTATAGCAAAACGTTATACGTGGACAGTTATGTATCGGGCATAAGCATCGAAAAACCCGAACCAAGAAGCAAGGA